CCGATGAGACTCCTATAGGAATCCTAAAAGATTCGCAGAGGCCCTATAGGATTCCTGTGAGTTTGCTATAGGATTCCTATAGGATTCGTAAAGGTCCTATAGGATTATTATGAGATTCCCATGGGATTCCTATAGGGTACGTAAAGGCCCTATAGGATTCCGATGGGATTCCTCTTGGAATCCGAGAAGCCCTATAAGATTCCCGTAAGATTCCTGTCGGATGACCATGGGATTCGTAGAGGCCCTATAGGATTCCCACTGGATTCCTACAAGGTTCCCATAGGAATCAGGCCCTATAGGATTCCTATGGGATTCCAATTGGATTCTTAAAGGATCCTTAGAGGCCCTCTAGGATCCCCATAAGAATCCGATCGCATCCTTATGGGATTCGTAGAGGCCCTATAGGATTCCTCTGGGATTCCTATAAGAATCCTATAGGCGTCGTAGAGGCCCTATTGAATTCCCAAAGGATTCCTTTAAGATCCGTACATGATTCGTAGAGGCCCTATAGGATTCCCAGAAAGGATCCCTATGGGATTCCCATCGGAATCCTAAAACCCCTGTAGGATTCCCATGGGGTTCCTATGGCATTCCCATAGGAATCCGGAAGGCCCTTTAGGTTTCCTACCTGCTTCCTATAAGATTCCTATCGGATTCGTAAAAGGCCCTATAGGCTTCCCATAGGATTCCGATGGGATTCCCATCGGATTCGTAAAGGCCCTATAAGATTCCTATAAGATTCCCATGGGATTCCCATAGGATTCGTAGAGGCCTATGGGATTCCTGTGGGATTCCTATAGGATTCCTAAAAAGTTCGCGGAGACCCTACAGGCTTCCTATAGGAATCCTACAGGGTTCGGGGTAACGTGCGCTGCGTTGCGTTGCGTTGCGTTGCGTTGCGCCGGGGGGGGGGGGGCCGGCGCCAGTGAGTGGTTTCGTCAACAACAAAAACAACAACAACAACAACAACAACAACAACAACAACAACAACAACAACAACAACAACAACAACAACAACAACACCAACACCAACACCAACACCAACACCAACACCAACAACAACAACAGCAGCAACAACAACAACAACAACAACAACAACAACAACAACAACAACAACAACAACAACAACAACAATTACGTTACCGAGGAACCCCACATACCTATGTTATTTCCCATGTGTACCATCGGTGCTTCTGCTGCTGCTCCTCCTTCTCCTCCTCGGTGTCCTCCTCCTGCTGCTGCTTCTGCTGCTGCTGCTTCTGCTGCTGCTGCTGCGTCTGCTGCTGCAGCTGCTGCTGCTGCTGCCGCTGCTGCTGCCCCACCTCCCCGTCCTCCTCCTCCTCCTCCTCCTCCTCCTCCTCCTCCTCCTCCTCCTCCTCCTACCTCCCAGCGCACCCCCTGTGGCGTCGAGGACATGCCACGCCTGCCACGCCCTGGGAGCCTGCAACGCATAGGGCCCCCACCCCCAGCGCACCCCCTGTGGCGTCGAGGAAATGCCACGCCTGCCACGCCCTGGGAGCCTGCAACGCATAGGGCCCCCACCCCCAGCGCACCCCCTGTGGCGTCGAGGAAATGCCACGCCTGCCACGCCCTGGGAGCCTGCAACGCATAGGGCCCCCACCCCCAGCGCACCCCCTGCGGCGTCGAGGAAATGCCACGCCTGCCACGCCCTGGGAGCCTACAACGCATAGGGCCCCCACCCCCAGCGCACCCCCTGTGGCGTCGAGGAAATGCCACGCCTGCCACGCCCTGGGGGCCTACAGCGCAGAGGGCCCCCACCCCCAGCGCACCCCCTGTGGCGTCGAAGGAATGCCCTGTGTGCTATGCTGTGCTGCGCTGTGCTGTGCTGCTGTGCGGTGAGCTGTGCTGTGCTGTGCTGTGCCGTGCTATGCTGTGCTGCGCTGTGCTGTGTTGAACTGAGCTGAGCTGTGCTCAGCTGTGCCGTGCTGAGCTGAGCTGAGCTGAGCTGTGCTGAGCAGTGCTGAGGAGGAGGGGAAGAGTGAGGTGTGTGAGAGAGAGACGGAGAGGGAGGTGTGAGGTGTGAGTGTCGCGGGCGCGGCACGGCAGGGATGAAAACCAGAACCCCACGAAGCATGTGGGGAACAACAACAACAACAACAACAACAACAACCACAGCAACAACAACAACAACAAGAACAACAACAACAACAACCACAACAACAACTACAACAACAACCACAAACACAACAACAACCACAACAACAACAACCACAACAACAACTACAACAACAACTACAGCAGCAGCAGCAACAACAACAACAACAACAACCACAACCACAACCACAACAACAACAACGACGACGACGACGACGACGACGACAACAACAACAACAACAACAACAACAACAACAATCACAGCAACAACAACAACAACGACAACAGCAGCAGCAACAACAACAGCAACAGCAGCAACAACAACAAGAACAGCAACAACAACAACCACAACAACAACAACAATAACAACAACAACAACAACAACAACAACAACAACAACAACAACAACAACAACAACAACAACAACAACAACAACAATTACTAGCACGTGGGGACACTCCGTTCTCACCAGTGCCAGGGTTTTCATAGGAGGCGGGCAATACCCCCACTTTGTGGGGGGGCCGGTTCAAGCTCTACCAAATTTCCAAACGACTCTTCGCCACCACCCACACCCAGCTTCCCGCCCTATGACGTTCGGACACTTCACTTCGTGGCATGCGGACGACCGTGGCTACTATTCAGGGCCCCGCGGCCGACGACGACGGCGTGCGCGCGCGAAGAAAAAACGAATGTGTCCCGCATGGTATTATTTGACAGGGATGATGGCCCTGGCAGGTGCGCAACCGTTGTTGCAGAAGTTCGAAAAAGTTGCTCGCAAAAGCCCGTTTGACAGAAATGTTGAAAAAGTATTGGGTTTCCTAAGAAATCCGCAAGAGCGCGCGGGATGAATTTTTGAAACTTGTTTTTTGAAAAACCATTGGGTTTTTCATGTTTTTATGTTAAAATCGCTACGAAAACTAAGGTTTTGGAAGGATTTCATCTTGCGCGCGCGAGTGTGCACTTCGTGTCATTTTTTGCAAAGGATTCTTGAAGTTTGGTTATGTTAGAACAAGACATGTCATTTTATATTGTTTTTTGACAGGGAAAGCGGGCGTCAACAAAACAACCGGATCCGGACTCCCCCGTTTTGCCTGAGACTTCCTCGCGAAAATGATGAAAATGTGGCTGCGGCCTAGGCGCGGCGAGGGGGGCGTGCACCAGGGGGCCCAACAATAATTATTCTTTAGAAGTAATAATATTCAACAACAGCAGCAGCAGCAGCAGCAACAACAACAACAACAAAAAACAACAATCATGAGGAAGGCCAAAGCGATAGCAAGATTCCCAAGTAAATCGCAAGAAAGGCCTAAGGGAGAGCGTGATTCCTAAGTGTCGAGGGCGTGGCGTCTGAATAGATTGCAAGGAAGTCCCACGCGAGAGCGCGATTCCTGCATAAATTGTGTGGAAGTCCTGCGCGAGAGCTCGATGTTGGAATAAATTATGAGGAAATATCAGGCAGGAGCCGTTGTTGTTGTAGCCGGGGGGCCAACAACACAGTTTGAGCAGTACGGCGTTCCCTGATAAAAAAGGGTGCGAGCCCCGAGGGGGGCACGTCAATTGAAAAACATCATGTGCACCCGTGGGGGTGATGAACAATAACTGTGTTTCGAAAATGAAGGTACAACAACAACAATCACATTAAGAATGCTCGCTCTTATCTGCTCGCGTGACACTCAGCGAGAAAACCCCAAACCCTGGATACCCGCCCTTTTCGTCTTCGATCGTACCCCCATAGGGGTAAATCTTTCTTGATTACCTGCAACATGCATTTCGTGCAGCCCCTGAGGCAGAGGAAGACAGGACGGATGCAAGAAAGGGACAAAAGGCAGGCGGGTTGCTGAAGCGTGCGTCCTGCATGAATCGCAAGGTCTCGAGCGATAGCACGATTCCCAAGTAAACCGAATGGCCACAGCGGGAGCGTGATTTCTGAGTGTCGAGGGCGCGGCGTCTGAATAAATTGCGCGGAAATCCCGCGCGAGAACGCGACTCTGGGGCACAAATTGTGAGGGAATCCAGCGCGCAAGAGCGCGATTTGGGAATAAATGGTGAGGAAGTATCAGGCGGGAGCCGTTGTTGTTGCTGTTGTTGTTGTTGTTGCTGTTGCTGTTGTTGTTGTTGTTGTTGTAAACCGGGGGCAAGGGGCCCAGTTTGGTGACACCCAGTTTTCTTATAAAAGGGGGTGCGAGCCCCGGGAGGAGCACTTCAATTCGAAAAAAAACACATTGGTTACCAGGCAGGGGGGATCAAAAACAGCTGTCGTTTCGAAAAATAAAACTCAACACTCATTTTAAGACTCTTCGCTCCGATCTGCTCGCGTGCCATTCATCACGTTGGCCCCGAACCCTCAGTACCCGCCCTCTTCGTCTCCGGTCATATCCCCCTTGGGGGTGTATCTTCATTACCTGCCACGCGCATTTACTGCAGCCCCTAAAATCAGGGAAAAAGCTACGGATGGAAGGAGGAGGGAGAAGGATGGAGAACGAAAGTAGCAGTAGGGAGCCTAAGAACAGAAAACACGCGGACCCTAGCGGGCGGGTGGTGAAGGCGAACCCAAGCGGCCAAGTCGAGCAGGCGGGCTGCTGAAGCGTGAGTCCTGACCATGTTGAGTATGGGCCTCTTGTACGGGACTACCAACAATAACAACCAAAAATGAACAATGTGCAGCCGAAGAAAAGATTGAGGGCGAATTCTTCCCAAAACGGAACTCTTGCTGGACAGCTACTTGAGTTGTACCATCATGTTTCCTTCGACTCCTTTCGAGAAGACACATGTTTTCCTGGATTCCCTCAAGGAGTTGCGTCCTTGCACGCATGCATCGGCCCGTCGGTCATTCGAAGGCCAAAAACAAGCAAAGTCAGATGCGCGCGGAAAACCCGAGAAGCACCTCACTGCTCGCCGTCCTCCTCCTCATCGAACTCGCCCTCCTCCTCCGCAGTGGCATCCTGGTACTGCTGGTATTCCGAGACAAGGTCGTTCATGTTGCTCTCCGCCTCGGTGAACTCCATCTCGTCCATGCCCTCGCCGGTGTACCAGTGCAGGAAGGCCTTGCGCCGGAACATCGCCGTGAAATACTCTGCTACGCGCTTAAACATTTCCTGAATGGCTGTTGAATTACCTGCGAAAGCAACTGCCATCTTCAGGCCCTTTGGAGGTATGTCGCACACAGAAGCCTTGATGTTGTTAGGAATCCACTCCACAAAATATGAAGAGTTTTTGTTCTGCACATTAAGCATCTGTTCGTCGACCTCCTTAGTGGACATGCGACCGCGGAACAGGGCCGCCGCGGTCAGGTAGCGACCATGGCGAGGGTCAGCTGCACACATCATGTTTTTGGCATCGAACATTTGTTGCGTGAGCTCCGGCACGGTCAGCGCGCGGTACTGCTGGGAGCCACGGGACGTGAGGGGCGCGAAACCGGTCATGAAAAAGTGCAGACGCGGGAATGGTATCAGGTTCACAGCAATCTTGCGCAGGTCGCAGTTGAGCTGCCCCGGGAAGCGCAAGCAAGTAGTGACACCACTGATCGCTGCACTCACCAAATGGTTCAAGTCCCCATACGTGGGCGTGGTCAGCTTCAGCGTACGGAAACATATGTCATAAAGGGCCTCGTTGTCAAGCAAGAAGCACTCGTCGGCATTCTCCACCAACTGGTGGAAAGACAATACCGCATTATATGGTTCCACGACTGTGTCGCTAACCTTTGGGGACGGAATGATACTGAACGTCTCCATGATCCTGTCGGGATATTCCTCTCTCACCTTGGAAATGAGCAAAGTCCCCATACCAGCTCCGGTACCGCCTCCGAGTGAGTGACACATTTGAAACCCTTGAAGGCAGTCACATCCCTCTGCTTCCTTGCGGACCACATCCAACACGCTGTCGATCAATTCCGCGCCCTCCGTATAATGACCTTTGGCCCAATTATTCCCTGCGCCAGTCTGACCAAATCCGCCACCGCACTTGCAGCGATTGGTGTGTGTGTGTGTCGGGCCTTCGTTGTTCGATACTTTGGCGTCTTGCAAAACAAAAAACACTGGCCCCCGACGCACTCAGCCCAACACGAAATCTGATTATTCTTCCACGTCCTTGTGCCCATGGCCTTCCCAGAACAGAATTGTTCCAAAAGCGGGGGTAGGGTTCATTAGGCACGCAGCATGGATCCCCCCGCCCCGTGGCACCAGCCTGGTCGTCTCGCACTTCTAATCATTTCTCCGATGAACTGCTACATGCCCCAGAAGACTCATACATTTCCAGGCGGCAAAGGGGAAATGCATCACCCTGCAGGGGGGCTATTTTTGCACATGTTTCAGACGGGGTCGTCCTGCAAAGTTCTCAAAATAAAACTGGTAGGCTTATGTGTAACCATTGGGCTTCTGGGAGAAACACACCGGGAATGTATGCGTCGGCGCGCGTACCACTGATTTGTCCTTCAGCCTGTGCGAGTTACGAAAGGTATATTGACCAGGGCATGTGAAGTCGTAGTTGGGATGGTACAAGCAGAAAAATAATACTAGGAGTGGAGATACGAGAAAGATGCAAATAGTTATGAGAGTACGAGCAGTCGTCGTCGCAGTGGTAGTAGTAACAATAATCGTAGTAGAACTAGTAATAGTAAAAGTAAAACTAGTAGCAGTAGTCGTAGTAGTAGTAATAATAGTCGTCGTACTCGTAGTCGTAATAATAGTAATATTAGTAGCATTAGTAGTCGTAGTGGTCGTAGAAGTAGTAGTAGTTGTATTAGTAGTAGTTGTAGTAGTAGTCGTAGTAGTAGTAGTGGTCGTAGTCGTAGTAGTAGTAGTAGTAGTAGTAGTAGTAGTAGTAGTAGTAGTAGTCGTAGTACGAGTAGCAGTAGGAGAATTGGTAGTAGTAGTAGTAGTAGTAGTAGTAGTAGTACAAGTAATCATAGATTTTACAGGGGTGAGAGTACCAGTAATAGTACTAGTAGCAATCGTTGTTGTCGTAGTAGTAGCAATCCGAACAATAATAATAGCAGTAGTCGTAGTAGTATTCGTTGTACTAGTCGGAGCCATCGTCGTCGTCGAAGTAATCGTGCTATGTAATAGTAGTGGTAATTGTTGCCCTATTCATGATCGTAGTGGTACTCGTAGTACTAATGGTGGTCGTCATCTCCGTAAGAATCGTAACAGTGGTATCCACAATAGTAGTAGCGGTCGTAGTAATAGTAGTAGCGGTGAATAGTATTAAGCAGTCGTGGTAATAATAGTGGTAGTGGTGGAAGTAAAAGTATGAGTAGTACTAGTAGTACTAGTAATATTCGCCGTAGCCGTATGAAAAGAAGAAGTAGTAGGAATAGCAAAGTAATCGTCATCGTTTTCACCGTCGTCGAAAATTCAGGAGTAGTGATCGTCGCGTCGTAGTCACAGTCGTAATAGTAGTAGTCGTAGTAGTAGTAGTAGTAGTCGTAGTAGTAGTAGTGGTAGTAGTAGTAGTAATACTAGTAGTAGTAGTAATAGTAGTAGTAGTAATAGTAGCAGTCGTAGTCGTGGCAATAGAAATAGTAGTACGAATACTAAGAAAGAAATGCAAGTAATAAGAAAGGTAGTAGTAGTAGTAGTAGTAGTAGTAGCAGTAGCAGTAGTAGTAGTTGTAGTAGTAGTAGTATTAGTACTAGTAGTAGTAGTAGTAGTAGTAGCAGCAGCAGCAGCAGTAGTAGTAGTAATAGTAGTAGAAGTAGTAGTAGCAGCAGCAGCAGTTGTAGTAGTCGTAGTAGTAGCATTATTAATAGTAGTAGTAGTAGTAGTAGTAGTAGTAGTAGTAGTAGTAGTAGTAGTGGTAACAGTAATAGTAGGAGTCGTCGTCGTCATCGTCGCCGACGAAGTCATCGTGATATGTGGTAGTAATGGTAGTAGTAGTAGTAGTAGTAGCAGCAGTAGTAGTAGTAGTGGTGGAAGTAATAAAATGAGTAGTAGTAGTAGTAGTAGTAGTAATAGTAGTAGTAGTAGTAGCAGGTACGTACGTACGTACGTAGTAGTAGTAGTATGCAAGTAGAAGTAAAACTAGTATTCGTCGTAGTCGTACGAATCGAAGTAAGAGTAAGAGTAGTAGGAGTAAGAGTCGCAGTAGTAGCAGTAGTAATAGTAGTAGTAGTAGTAGTAGTAGTAGTAGTAGTAGTAGTAGTAGTAACAGTAGTAGTCGTAGTCGCAGTCGTAGTAGTAGTAGTTGTTGTAGTAGTAGTAGTAGTAGGTGGTAGTAGTAGTAGTAGCAGCAGCAGCAGCAGCAGCAGTAGTAGTAGTAGTAGAAGTAGTAGTAGTAGTAGTTGTAGTCGTAGTAGTAGTAGTAGTAGTAGTAGTAGTAGTATACACGTAAGAATAAAACTATTATTAGTCGTAGTCGTACAAATCCAAGGAGGAGTAAGAGTAGTAGGAGTAGTAGTCGTAGTCGTAGTAGTAGTAGTCGTAGTCGTAGTAGTGGAAGTAGTAATAGCAGTAGTAGCAGTAGTAGTAGTAGTAGTAGTAGTAGTAGTAGTCGTAGTAGTAGTAGTAGTAGTAGTAGTAGGTGGTGGTGGTTTAGTTAGTAGAGTAGTAGTCGCCGTCAGTAGTAGTAGTAGTAGTAGTCGTAGTCTTGTTGTTGTTGTTAGCTGCGCTGCAGCTAGTAGTAAGTTGTAGTAGTAGTTGTAGTATTAGTAGTTGTAGTAGTAGTTAGGAATCTGTTGTAGTAGTAGTAGTAGTAGTAGTAGTAGTAGGTCGTAGTGTTAGTCGTAGATAGTAGTGTGGGTAGTTAGTGGTAGTGTAGTGGTAGTTGTAGTAGTAGTTAGTAGTAGTAGTAGTAGTAGTAGTTGTAGTAGTAGTTAGTAGTAGTTGTTGTTTGTGCTCATCTAGTTGTAGTAGTACCCCGTGAGGCCACCAAGGGGAGCCCAACGCCATCTCAATGCTTTTTGCTTCATCAACCCTTGCAGGTGGCGGGATTGGGCCGTATAGGCCATGAGATCGCACACCTCCTGTGGTCGTGCCACCAGGGTGCCGCACGGCGTGCTGGATGATTCAGTTTTGGTTTGGTTCTTTTTCTAAAAGATCTCCCCAGTGGGCTTCGGCCCGTCCCGCCGGCCACCCGTAAATTTCCCAAAATGCGTCTGTCAATGCCTTTGTTGCCCCAACTTGGCCCAAGATGGCCTCCAAGACGGCCAAGATGGCCCAAGATGGCCTCCAAGATGCCTCCAAGACGGCCAAGATGGCCTCCAAGACGGGTAAGATGGCTCCAATATGCCTCCAAGACGGCCCAAGATGCCCTCCAAGACGGCCAAGATGGCCCCAAGATGCCTCCAAGATGGCCCAAGAGGCCTCCAAGACGTTCTCCAGGAGAGCCCGAAGAGGCCAAAATCATTGTTTTTCCTTAGGTTTTTGAAGGTGTTTTGCGTTTTCATCTTTTCGGCCTTCCGACGGCCCAAGAGGCCCCCAAGATCGCCCAAGAGGCCTCCAAGAAGGCCCTATGACGGCCCAAGGGCCCCCCAAGACGGCCCCAAGAGCGCCCCAAGACGGCCCAAGAGGCCTCCAAGACGCCCAACTTGGCCTCCAAGACGGCCCTGAAGCGCCCCAAGAGGGCCCCAAGACGGCCCAGAGAGGCCCCCAAGACGGCTCCAGACGGCGTCAGACGGACCAGGAACGCCCTAAGACGGCCAAAGAGAACCCCAGGAAGCCCCCAAAGGCCCCCAAGAGGCCCAAGGAGGCCCCCAAGATGCCTCCAAGAGGCCTCGAAGAGGCCCCCAAGAAGCCCCCAACAGACCCCAAGGGTGCCCCAAGAGACTCCTAACATCCCTCATCCTCCTACTCTATTTCTTCCTCTTCCTCTTCCTGTCTCACTTTCATTTACTCTTCCCTTGTGTTCCCGTAAAAGATTCCAATCCGTCTCGGGGGGAACTCATGGTCCGATAAGCTTGGCAAAGCTCTAGTACATCTTTCGGCACATCGGCGTTTCCAAAAAGGCAGCGGGGGCGGCGGTGATTCGCCGTCGTAGGGCGTCTTCGTTCCGCCGCACCCCTGTGGTCTTGACACAGGGGTTGCACGGCGTGTGGAGCTGGATGATTCAGGTTGTGGTTTTGGTTCTTTTTTCTAAATGATACTCCCCATGGGCTTCGGGACCGTTCCCGCGCCACCGACAGTTTCCCAAAATATGCGTCTGTCAATGCCTTTGTTGCCCCAACTTGGCCCATGATGGCCTCCAAGACGGCCAAGATGGCCCAAGATGGCCTCCAAGATGCCTCCCAGACGGCCAAGATGGCCTCCAAGACGGGTAAGATGGCTCCAAGATGCCTCCAAGACGGCCCCAGATGCCCTCCAAGACGGCCAAGATGGCCCCAAGATGCCTCCAAGATGGCCCAAGAGGCCTCCAAGACGTTCTCCAGGAGAGCCCGAAGAGGCCAAAATCATTGGTTTGCCTTAGGTTTTTGCAGGTTTTTTGCGTTTTCATCTTTTCGGCCTTCCGACGGCCCAAGAGGCCCCCAAGATCGCCCAAGAGGCCTCCAAGAAGGCCCTATGACGGCCCAAGGGCCCCCCAAGACGGCCCCAAGAGCGCCCCAAGACGGCCCAAGAGGCCTCCAAGACGCCCAACATGGCATCCAAGACGGCCCTGAAGCGCCCCAAGAGGGCCCCAAGACGGCCCAGAGAGGCCCCCAAGACGGCTCCAGACGGCGTCAGACGGACCAGGAACGCCCTAAGACGGCCAAAGAGACCCCAGGAAGCCCCCAAAGGCCCCCAAGAGGCCCAAGGAGGCCCCCAAGATGCCTCCAAGAGGCCTCGAAGAGGCCCCCAAGAAGCCCCCAACAGACCCCAAGGGTGCCCCAAGAGACTCCTAACTACCCTCATCCTCCTACTCTATTTCTTCCTCTTCCTCTTCCTGTTCATAATCATTCTCTCCCATGTGTTCCCCGAAAGCTTTCCAAACCGACTCGGGGAACTCATGGTCCGATAGCTTGGCCAAGCTCTTGTCCAACTTTCGGCCACATCGGCGTTTCCAAAAAGGCAGGGGGCGGCGGTGATTCGCCGTAGGCGTCTTCGATATCCGCCGCCCCCCTGTCGATTCATCGCAGGGGTGCCTGGCGTGCCGAACTATATGGGTTCGGGTTTTGGTTCTTTCTCCAAAAGAACTCCCCCTGGGGCTTCGGCCCGTCCCGCCGGCCACCCGGAAGGATGCCGAAAATTTGCCCGGACCCCGTTGCAAAGGGTTTTTCCGTTCCAGACGGTCCCAAAAAATCGTCCAAGATGGCCTCCAAGACGCCTCCAAGAGGGCCAAGATGGCCTCCAAGACGGATAAGATGGCCCCAAGATGCCCCCAAGACGGTCCAAGGTGCACCCAAGACGCCCTAAGATGGCCTCAAGATGGCCCAAAACGGCCCAAGAGGTTCCCAAGAGGCCTCCAAGACGGCCCAGGAGGCCTCCAAGAGGTCCTCCAGGAAGGCCCGAAGAGGCCAAAATCAGTGATTTTCGTTAGGTTTTTGAAGGATTTTGGAATTTGCGCCTTTTCGGCTTTCCGACGGCCCAAGACGGCCCAAGAGGCCCCCAAGGTCGCCCCAAGATCGCCCAAGAGGCCTCCAAGATGGCCCCATGACGGCCCAAGAGGCCCCCAAGACGGCCCCAAGAGGGCCCCAAGAGGGCCCCAAAAGGGGCCAAGAGGCATCCAAGACGCCCAAGATGGCCTCTAAGACGGCCCCGAAGCGCCCCAAGAGGGCCCCAAGTCGGCCAAGGGAGGCCCCCAAGACGACTCCTGACGGCGTCAGACGTGCCAGGAGCCCACCAAGACGGCCGAAGACGGCCTTAAGATGGCCCAAGACGGCCCAAGAGGCCTCCAAGAGGGCCTCCAGGAAGGCCCGAAAAGGCCAAAATCATTTATTTCCCTAAGAGTCTTTGAAGGATTGTGGCATTTGGTTTTTGTTCGGCCTTCCGACGACCCGAGACGGCCCAAGTGCCCCCAAAGATCGCCCAAGACGGCCCCAAGAGGCCCCCAAGACGGCCCAAGAGGCCTCCAAAACGCTCAAGACGGCCTCCAAGACGGCCCAAGAGCCCTCCAAGACGTCCTCCAAGAAGGCCCGAAAGGGTCAAAATGGCCTCCAGACGGCCAAGATGACCTTCAATATGCTCACGTGTTCCCCGAAGGCTTTCCAAACCGATTCGGGGAACACATGGTCCGATAGCCTGGCAGAACAGGCCTCAACCTTCGGCCAAATAGGCGCTTCCAAAAAGGCAGGGGGCGGCGGTGATTCGCCGCAGGCGTCTTCGATACGCCGCCCCCTGTCGATTCATCGCAGGGGTGCCTGGCGTGCTAGACCCTTTCGGTTTTGGTTTTGCTTCTTTTTTCCGAAATAACTCCCCCTGGGGCTTCGGCCCGTCCCGCCGGCCACCCAGAAAGATCTTCCAGATTGCCCAGAGATGGTTGCCAAAGATTTGTCCTGCTCCAGACGGCTCCAAGACGGCCCAAGATGGCCTCCAAGACGCCTCCAAGACGACCAACATGGCCTCCAAGACGGCCCAGATGGCCCCAAGATGCCTCCAAGATGGCCCAAAATGCCTCCAAGACGGCCTAAGGTAGCCTCAAAATGGTTCAAGACGGCCCAAGAGGCCCCCAAGAGCCCCCCCCAAGACGCCTCCATAGAGGTCCTCACTAGGTGGGGCCGAAGAGGCCCAAAATCAGTCGATTGTAGTTAGGTTTGTGAAGGATTTTGGAATTTGCTTTCCGACGGCCCAAAGACGGCCCCGAGGGCCCCTAGAATAGAGGCCCCATAACGCCAAAGAGGCCTCATGAAGGGCCTCCCCATGACGGCAAAGAGGCCCCCATGACGCCCCATGAGGGACCCAAGACGGCCCAAGAGCCTCCAAGGACGCCCAAGACGGCCTCACATGACGCGCCCCGAAGCGCCCCAATGAGGCCCCAAGCCGGTTCAGAGGAGGCCCCATGTCGGCTCCCGACGGCGTTAGATGGAGATGGCCAAGGAACGCCCTAAGGACGGCCAATAGAGGCCCCCCGAGAAGTCCCAAAAGGCCCAAGAGGCCTCTAGAGCTCCAAGAGAGCCCAAGATAGCACCAACATGGCCTCCAAGACAGTCCCAAGATGGCCCAATCGAGCCCAAGAGTGCCTCAAGAGCCTCCGAAGAAGCATCCTCCCCGTTCTCCTTTTTCCTCCTTCTGCTCCTCTTCCTCTTCCTCCCCCACGTGTTCCCCAAAGGCCTTCCAAAACGATTCGGGGAACACATGATCCGATAGCTTCGCCCCCCAAGATTCCTCCAAGACGGCCCCAGCTGCCTCCAAGACGGCCTGACCTGGCGTCAATATTACCCAAGACGGCCCAAGAGGCCCCTAAGAAGCCTCCAAGACGGCCCAAGAGGCCTCCAAGAGGTCATCCAGGAGGACCAGAAGAGACCAAAATCAGTAATTTTCCCTAAGTGTTTGAAGGATGTTGAGAGGCCTCCTCCTCCCTTTACCTTCTTCATCCCTCTCCTCCCCTTCCTCCTCCCCCACCATGTTCCCCGAACGGTTTCCAAACCGATTCGGGGAACACATGGTCCGATAGCTTGGCAGGCCTCTGGCCACAACGCTCGGCCACATAGGCGCTTCCGAAAGGGCAGGGGGCGGCGGTGATTCGCCGTAGGCGTGTTCGATAATCCATCCTTTCCACATGCACCTTGTCATCCTCCTACGCCTCCTCCTCCTCCTCCGCCTCCTCCTCCTCCCCACCTCATCGACTTCCTCCTCCTCCACTCCCCTTCGACAATCACCTTGTCGTCTTCGGCAATCAAATGTCACCCCTGTGTCTCATTCACTTCAGCTTTGTGCAACATGTGTGGCGCAAACTGCGTGACTCGATCTGTGTGGTGCAATACGTGTGTCGTGCCATGCCTTGCTCACCTTGCAACGCTGCAGCCTTGCTACATAGCTTCCCCAAGCGCGGTGACGGATATGCGCGGCAGCGCAACTGGATACGAAGTTGTCCGGACGGAAAAGCTGGCCAAAAGGTCCAGCACGGACGCTGTCCATGGTGCCTGGTTCCAAATCCATCAACACGGCGCGCGGTACATAACGGCCCCCTGTGGCCTCATTGTAGTAGACGTTGATGCGCTCGAGCTGGAGGTCGGAATCTCCATGATAGGTGCCTGTAGGATCTATACCATGTTCATCAGAAATGACTTCCCAGAACTTTGCCTGCGGGCCCCAAGAATATACACCACCACCACCACCACGTCGATTCCTTCTCCCTCCTCTACCCGCCTCTTGCTCTCCTCTTTCCTGGGAGAGGGATGGGGTGAAGGAGCTGGTGGTGATGTATATTATTGGGCCCCGTATGGCCCCGATCTGGTTGCCGCACTGGCCACCCTGGATGTGCACCAACTCGCGCATGGCTGCTTATCGGAGGAAGCTGACTTCCGATTGTTCGGATGACTTCAGGCGTAGAACACTCGCTCGGGCAAAAAAGACTACAGCCACATTAGTTGCAAAAATAAGAATCATAATAATTCGAATAAGAATAAGATTAATAAGAACAATACCATTATTAATGAGAGTGTATTCAAAAAGATGGTGCCAGCGCGTAGAACAAAACATTGAACATGCGCAACCCGCAGGGCAAAATACGGGGTGCCGTCGACGCAATGCAATTCACTCGGTCGAACTGAGGGCGCCAGCTCCAATGATCGAACGAACATCCCACCCACCCACCAGCAACATGTTGGTAAAACTCCAGAAAGCGTGGGCGATGCTACTCATCAGGGCCGACTCACAAATCTCAAAAGGCGCAGTACCATCTGGACCCTGCTCATGAAGATCCGTGAAGCGGGCGGGCGACGGTGACGACGACACCAGCGACGGAGACGATATTGATGATGGTGACGGTGGTAGCGAAGATGACGAAGGCAACAACAACGACAATGACGATGACGATGAGGAGGAGGACTTCGCTTTGATGATGATGGCGATGACCACTGACGTGGTCCAGCGCTTGACGATGACGATAGCGAATGGGACGACGCAGATGGTGATAGCGTGCGGGCGGACTGAAATGATGAATGCTTAGCAAGCTTGTAACTGAAGCCCGCGGAATGTTCAGACCCTGTTGCAGAACTCACTCTCTATCAAGCCCCTACCACAGAAATTGGTTTTGGAGGGAGCTCGACGTGCGCGCGCGGAGACGCGCGCGCGTGGCCCGTGTGGGAGTTAACAGTGTTGGAGGGTACGCGATGGCATGTAAACGCGTTCAATAAGTGCTCGTGCGTCGCCTGCATAATACAATTCGCCACAATGGGAAAATGGTTCCCTTCACATGCCAACGAGCGCGCGCAGAAATATGTCTGAGTTCTTTATTGTCCATAACGAATGGCGTATTCTAGTGTTCGATGAACTTGTTTTGTATGTTCTGGTGGATGTTTGAAAGGATTCGGCACGCGGGCGCGGCGGCGCGCGCATGTGGTCATCATGGTGTGTGTTGCGAAGGGCCATTCGAGAAACGACCTGTTAGATCAACGCATGTGCACCACCGGATTCTTTGACAGAAGTGAAAGGGGGGTCGGTAGTGGGTCTGGCTGGCATAAAAGAAGCGCTGTCCAATATTACTTGTGAAACTCAGGGCATGTCGTATACCAACAAATCATCCGCCACCGTGCCTTCGGCACGCAGTGGAGTACCTCAAGGCTCACGCAGTTCTTAAAGGTCATGCATCTCTGAAAGGTTCGTAAGGTTCGTAAGGGCCCAGACCACGAAAGTCCCAGGCGCTCCTGGGCACGGCAAGGCGCTCTGAGAGTGTTCCGCAAAGACATTTAAGACGGTGCCCCCACCCAGGGACGCCCCAAAACAGGCCAAGAAAGCCCTAAGATGGTCCCAGGAGGATCCAAAGGGCCTCCGAACGAACGAACGAAGCTGACGTCGCCAGGAAACCGGCGTCCCTGCAAAGGGGGGCAGGCGCGATGGTCGCGCGCGTGCCTTCCAAGAAGGCCACTGGATGTGTGATTGCGCCAAAACCAAATGAAACACGAAACGTGTGCACGAAGGCCGCGCGGTCACCTCCATGCGCGCTGCAGAACATCCCGATCATTCTCCTGCCAGGCACTATCACTCGATGCCTCGTGCGCCCACGAGTCCCAGCCAGCATTGTTTTGTATGTGACACCAACTCATTTTCCCATCTGCTGAACCAGCCAGACCGGGAGCGAATTGGGCATCCGAGTGTCCCCTCTGCTTGTTCGTCCCACAAGGCATGATCCCTCCATTGAGTCACACTTTTGGCCAAGCGTGCATCTGGCATATTGATAATGTTCCCTGTCAACTTCCACTTTGATGTTAAATACTTGTCCACCCAACATGAAACTCCGACGTTGCAGCTGACCAGCGGGCACTCCTGTGCAGATAACTGTACCTTCTTGTTTGGGGGAGCAAAATTCCCGCACGAAATGACATGATGAAAAACAAAACAAAAAAAACAAGCAACAACAACAACAAAAAAAACTGGGCTCCAATGGGGGAAAAGATGGCCCTTTGCAGATATGAGAGAGCATGATCCACCACCGCTTTAGTAGAAAATTCCTCCCCCTCTTCCTCCGGAACCCGGGGGTCCCTACCCCCCACTCCAAACCCCCCCTGCTCGAACCCCCCGCCCTCACCCCCCCATTCCTCTGGCCCCCCCCCCTCTAACCCCTCCCCCCCCCTCCCCCTTCTCCGGAAAACCGGGGGGGGTCCTTACCGGTTCGAAACCCCATTTTCTTTCTCCAGAAAACCGGGGGGGGGGACTACCGGTTCGACCCCCCCACCCGCCGCCGGCAAAAGACTCCCGGGTCCCCAGGTCCCCACCACCGTCCTCACCACCGCCCTCACCAGTCCCCACCACCACCGTTCCCACCACTGTCCCACTGTCCCCACTGTTCCCACCACTGTCCCCACTGTCCCCACCAATGCCCCCACCACCGTCGCACTGTCCCGACTGTCCCCGCCATTGTCCCCACCGAGGGCGGTCCCACTCTCCCCACTGTCCCCACTGTCCCCACCACTGTCCCACTGTCCCCACCACTGTCCCACTGTCCCCACTGTCCCCACCACTGTCCCACTGTCCCCACTATCCCCGCCGCTGTCTCACTGAGCTGTCCCACTGTTCCCACCACTGTCCCACTGTCCCCACTGTCCCCACCACTCTCCCCACTGTACTGCTGTCCCATTGTCCCACCACCGTCCTCACCACCGCCCTCACCACTGTCCCCACCACCACCCGTCTTCGCCACTGTCCACTGTCCGCCACCACTGTCCCAATTTGTCCCCTCGCCACTTTTTGGTCCCTCATCACCATCGTACCCACCATTGTTTCCCACTGTCCCCTTGTTCCCCACCACTGTCCACTGTCCTCACTGTTCCCACCACTTGTCTCCACTTCCCTCACCAGTGCCCCACCACTGCGCACCCGTCCCCACTGTCCCAACCAGCGGCCTCACCACGATTTTCCACACACTCCTCCCCCACTTAGACCCCCCAACTGTCCCCCACCACCTTCCGGTCCCACGGCCCCACTCATGTTCGATCTCCACGAAACAGACCTCCCACCACTGTTCCCACTGTCCCCACCGCTGTCCCACTGTGCTGCCCCACTGTCCACCCTGTCCCCACCACTGTCCCACTGTCCCCGCTGTCCCTACGACTCTCCCCACTGTACCACTGTCCCACCACCGCCCTAACCACCGCCCTCACCACTGTTCCCACCACCACCGTCCCCACCACTGTCCCACTGTTGTCCCCAACACCACCGTCCCCACCACTGTCCAACTATCCCCCTTGTCCCACCACTGTCCCACTGTCCCCAGTCCCCACCACCGTCCCCACTGTCCCCGCTAGTGCCTCCACCACTGTCGCACTGCCCCCACTGTTCTCACCGCTGTCCCCACCACGGTCCCACTCTTCCCACTGTCCCCTCTCACCACCACCATCCCCACCACCGTCCCAACCACTGTCCCCACCAGTCACCCATTCGGAGTGGGAGAAGAGGGGGAGTCGTTGCGGCGAGGAGGGAGGAGGGGGGAGGGGGGGGGTTCGAACCAGTAGTGACCCCACCGAGACGCGTTGGCAGGTTGGGTAGGGGGGGGGGAGGGGAAGGGGGTGCAACTGGCAGGTGTAAACCCCTCCCTATTTTTATGGACGGACTGAGGGGGAGGGGGGGGGGGGAAAGGGAAATAAAGAAAGTAAGGAGAAAGAAAGAGGGGAAAGGGGGAGGGGGGGAAAGCAAAAAATGAAGATGGGGGAAAACCCTACAGACAACTACCGTTTTCGACGGAGGGGGGGGGGAGGTTGGAAACCCCCTGTGCCCCCTCCCCCCGCGGTTGTTCTGCCCAGCAACTACGGTTTCAGAACCGCTCTTCTCAGCAATCATCATCATCTATCATCATCATCAGCATCAGCATCATCATCATCATCATCATCATCATCATCATCATCATCAGAATCATCATCAGAATCATCATCATCATCATCAGCATCATCATCATCATCATCGTCATCATCATCATCATCATCATCATCATCATCATCATCATCATCATCATCACCGCCACCACCGCCACCACCATCACCATCATCAGCATCATCAACGTCATCAGCATCTCATCATCATCCTCATCCACATCATCATCATCATCATCATCATCATCATCATCATCACCAAAATCGTCATCATTAGCATTGTCTACATCATCAGCATCATCGTCGCCAGTATCATCCAAACCATCGCCATCATCTTCAGAATCAGCATCAGCATCAGCATAATCAACATCAGCAGCATCAGCATCATAACCATAAAAAGCAGAATCATCATCAGCAGCATCAGCATCATCATCATCAGCAGCATCATCGTCATCATCAGCATCATCAACGTCATCAGCATCATCATCATCAGCATCATCGACACCACCATCATCAGAATCATCACTATCATCAGAATCATCGTTATCAGTATCATGATCATGATCATGATCATTATCAGTATCATCACCATCACCATCACCATCATGACCAGCATCAGTATCGTCATCATCATCATCAACATCATCATCGTCATTATCATCGTCATTATCACCATCAGCAGCAGCAGCATCACCATCATCACCATTCTCATTAGCAGCAGCAGCATCTACAGCAACATCATCAACAACATCATCAGCAACATCATCATGATCATGACCATCATCATCATCGCCAGCATCATCGTCATCAGCATCGTCACCACCACCGCTAACATCACCGTCATCTTCCGAATCATCATCATCATCATCATCATCATCATCCTCACCATCATCACCACCCTCATCACCATCACTGTGCTCATCACCTCTACCACCACCACCACCACCACCACCCCACACGGGAGGACGAGGAGGAGTGCTGAGCTGCCCCGCCCCGGCGCCGCCGCCCGCCCGCCCGCGCGGCGGCCCCCGGCCGCGCCTCGACCCACTTCGCGATACCGAAGTCGCCCAGCTTCACGACACAGGTGCTGAGCTCGCCCTCTCGCGCGGCTGGGAGGCGCGTGTTGTGCTCGCCGCTGGCTCCGCGCTGGGCGCGCTCGCTCCAGGCAGGGAGCGGGCGGCGCTGCTGCCGAGGGGGAATGCCGGAGGGGCGAAGGAGAAGCGAGGGAAGAGCGCCACTTGCCTCATCCCCCCAACGCCCTCACGTCGTGGAAACAAACAAAAAAAAGCACGACGGGCGATGTGGGGCAGCTTTCGGCCTCGAGAGGCGCTCGCCGGGCCCCGGGTACGTGAAAAAAACGGCTCGGGATGCAAAACGGACCCTGGAGGAAGGATCGGGAATTCCAGGGACCCATGTATTGCATATCGGATCTCTGGGTCCTCCTCCTCCTCCTCCTCCTCCCCGTTTTCCTCCTCTTCCTCCTCCTCCGGGTCACACCGTATTCGGGGCTTCGGCTCCGAGTACGGGGTGGTTACGCTTCGCGTCGGGTTCGTGTCTGGATGGGCTCTGGGTTGGCGAATCAATCCAAAACAGCCTTCCTCCTCCACCTCCGCGTCCTCGTCCTCCCCTTCCTCCTTTTCTGATTAATCTTCTTCGTATGAGTATTATGTTTTGTTCGTGCTCGTATTGCTCATTGCTTGCATGGTTATGGTGATGTGTGTGAATATTCTCACATTAATAAATGTGCGGGATTATGTATTAGTACTGTCATTCCTCATCCTCCTCTTACCAGACATGGTTCGCCCCAAAGCGAGAAATCGATCTTGATCTCGTCTGGTGTCGCACGTGACGTGCGTGCGGGCGAAGCGAAGCTGCGCGAGTGCGAGAGAGATCATGCTCTAGCCAAGAGCGCGTTACGGCAAATTCCTTCGCCCCCCTGTGCACGCTGGGGCCCCCAGGTTGTCCTGGGGTTGTCCAGAGAGGGGATCATCTGGTTGTCCCGTGGTTGTTCTGCTGGTGGTCCCGATATTTGCCCCCGCGGGTTCACCTGGCTGTAGTCCAGGCGGTTGTCCTCGCGGTTGTCCGGCGGTTGTCTCGTGGTTGTTTCGTGGTGATCGCGTGGTTGTTCTGTGATTGTCGCGTGCTTGCCCCGCGATTGTCCCGTGTTTGTTGTGCGGGCTGTCACACGGGTGCTCCCGTGGGTTCTCCTGTGATTGTCCCATGGGCGTCCCGCAGGTTGTCCCGTGGGTTCTCCGATGGTTGTCCCGCGGAATGTCCGGCCGGTTGTTTCGTGGTTATCCCGCGGGACCTGCACATCAGAATCCCCATCGCAATCTTGCAATCGAATTGCAAATCGGAATTCCATCGGCCTTAACGGGCCGTAAGGGGCCCGAAGGGGTCCAGAGGGACAGGAGGCCCGGGGGGGGGCCCGCAGGACTCGCCACATCTCGATCTGAGGAAAAACGACGACCGCGACTGCGACGGCGGCGGCGGCGACGACGAAGACGACCAAAACGACGACAACGACGACGACGACGACCACGACGAAGCTGGCTCCTCCTTATCTTCCTCCTCTTCCTCCTCCTCCAACTCCTCCTCCTCATCCGCCTCCTCCTCCTCGTCCTCCTCCTCCTCCTGATCCTCCCTCTCCTCCTCCTTCTCATCCTCCTCCTCCTCCTCGTCCTCCTCATCCTCATCCTCATCCTCCTCTTCCTCCTCCTCCTCCACGTCTGCCTCCTCCTCTTCTTATTATTACTCATATGATTCTTCTTTTATATATTATTACTCGTACTAATATTATTATTCATTCCACTCGTCATATTATTCGTAGTAATATGATTAGTCTTGTTATCATTAGTCTTATGCTTACTACAGTCAATATTAGTAATAGTATCATTGATAGTCAATGTATTGTCAATATGCATATAATATCACTTTTGTTATTTTGTAGTGTTCCTCTTCTTCTGATTATTGTGACCTACGTGTTGTTATCATGATAATCAGCAGTTAACTGCTTAGCATTCTTAATAGTATGAGTTTCTTCTTAGTCTCATGAGTATTCGCAGTATTAGTATACGTAATATTCTTAGTGCTATTATTATTAGCCTGTTCATTGTTATTATTCTTCGTGCCCTGATTCCTAATACTCGTCTTACTCGTCTTCTTCATAAAATGTGTATTAGCAATATGTGTCGCAGTATGTTTAATATTTTCATGGTTACTATTACGCATTAGTATGATTGCTACGAGTAGTCTTAGTACAATTAGTACTATCAGTATTCAGGTTCCTCTTGCTAGTAGTATAGATATTCGTGATAAGTTATTAGTATTCCTCCTCCTCCTACTCCTACTCCTCCTCCTCAACTTCCTCCTCCCGCACCTCCTCCTCTTCCTCCTCCTCCTCCTCATGCCCCTCCGCCTCCTCCTCCTCCTCCTCCTCCTGCTCCTCCTCCTCCTCATCCTCCTCCTCATCCTGCCCCTTCTTCACTCTCCTCCTCCTCCTCTCCTCCGCCTCCTCCTCCTCCTCCTCAACTTCCTCCTCCGTCGCCACCTCCTCCTCCTTCTCCTCCTCCTCCTCCTCCTCCTCCTCCTCCTCCTCTTCTCTTCTCCCCCCCCTCCTCTTCCCCCCCCCTCCTCCTCCTCCTCCTACTCCTCCTCCTCCTCCTCCTCCTCCTCCTCCTCCTCCTCCTCCTTGTCTTCCTCCTTCTCCTCCTCCTCCGCCTCCTCACCTCCTCCTCCTCATCTCCTCCTCCCTCCTCCTTCCTCTTCCTCTTCTCCCCCCATCCTCTTCCCCCCCCTTCCTCCTCCTCCTCCTCCTCCTCCGCCTCCTCCTCCTCCTCCTCCTCCCTCCCTCCTCCTTCCTCGTCCTCTATTCCTTGTCCTCTCCTTCTCCTCTCCTCCGCCTCCTCCTCCTCCTTCCTCCCTCCGCCTCTCTCCTCCTCTTCCTCCTCCTCCTTCCTCTTCCTCCTCCTGCTCCTCCTCCTCCTATTCCGCCCCTGCTCCTCCTCCTCCTCCTCCTCATCATCATCATCATCCTCCTCCACTTCCTCCACTTCCTCATCCTCCTCATCATCCTCCTCCTCCTCCTCCTCCTGCTCAGACTCCTCCTCCTCCTCCTCCTCCTCCCGATCCTCTTCTTAATAGTATGGTTGATACGTAATGTTGAGTATTACGGTCACGAACATTACTACTAGTTTCAACAATACTAGTAAGATTATAAAGTGATTAAGATTGGTAGGTTTTGTAGATAAAGATATTACTATTACTTGTCGTATAAGTATTACGATTATGAGTATTAGTTGTATTAGTGATAATTTTATGTCGGCATTGTTTTTCTAACGAGTTTTAGTATTACCAGCATTGATATTAATAGTATCAATGATAATATCACTGTTAGTGTCAATATTATTATCACTAATGGTAGTAGTAATACCACTATGACTATTAGTAGTAATAATATGGATAGTGGTACTACTAGTAAAACTAGTATGAGCAGTTGTATACTCATTAGTATTAGTATGAGTAGTAGTAGTAGTAGTAGTAGTAGTAGTAGTAGTAGTAGTACCATGACTACGAAGCTCATTAGTATTATCATCACTCGTAGCATCAGTATGATTTCTCTTCTCAGTATGACGATTATCATTGGTATTCGTATGCTGCTCGTTCATATTAGTATTACTATTATGAGTATTGCCAGTAGTCTTAGTAATACTCTTAGTATGCCTAGTATTACGATTAGTCTTATTAATAGTATTATCCTGGTTTGGCAATATTATGTGCCTTCATCTTAGCAGTATTAACACTCGGTTTATCATTATTAGTAGTCGCAGTATTATGCATATGCGTACAACAATCATTAGAAGTCGTATTATTGTTAATCATATTACGTGTACTTGTCTTATTCGTATGTCCTTCTTCGTAGTACTACCGACATTGTTAGTCGTCCGATTATTCTTCGTTTTGTTAGTATGATTATGAGTATGATACTTGTTATTCTTACTCTTCATATGTTTATTATTACTCGTAGTCTTCATCTTACGCTTCTCATTAAGTTTACTATTCTTATTATTAGTAGCATGATTATTATATTAGTCTTAGTTGTAGTCATATCGTTATGAGTCTTATCCGTTGTATGAGCATTCGCATTGTTAGTGTTTGTTGTATTGCTAATATTATTAATATTGTTATTACTGTTATGTGTATTCGTCTTCTTATCCGTATTATTGGTAGTACTCGTACTCTTATGCGTGTTACCATTATTATTCATATGATTATTATTCGTATCCGTAGTAATAGGCTTATTATTGCTTAGTCGTCTTATTTAATATTCGTATCCTATTTGTTATGGTTGGCCTTCTTAGTATTATTCTTCATATTTGTATGATTGGTCTTCTTCGTGATGTGTTACTCTTCTTTTGTATTAGAAATAATGTTAGTATTCATGTTATTCGTTTTCGTTGTGTCTTTCCTTTTCTTCCTCTTGTTCCTCCACCTCCTCTTCCTCCTCCTCTTCAAAATCATCATCATCATCATCATCATCATCATCATCATCATCATCATCATCATCATCATCGTCATCGTCATCGTCATCGTCTTCCTCCTCCTCTTCCTCCTCCTCCTCCCTCCTCCTCCTCTTCCTCCCCCTCCTCCTCTCCTCCTCCTCCTCCCCTTTCCCCCTCCCCTCCTCCACTCCTCCTCTCCTCACCTCCTCCCACCTCCTCCACCTCCTCCTCCTCTCCTCCTCCTCACCCTCCTCCTCCTCCCTCTCCTCCTCCTCCTCCTCCTCGTCTTCCTCCTCCTCCTCCTCCTCCTCCTCCTCCTCCTTCTCCTCTGGCCGAGCCGAGCCGAGCCGAGCAGAGCCACGCGGGCGCGGCGTGGCCTGGCGGGGCCCGGCAGGGCCCGAAAGGGCCCAGCAGGAACAAGGGGTGGCCCGAACCGAACCAATCAAACCGGCCCGACGACCATGCCGAAACCGAACCAGCCCGAACCAGCCCGTCGCCGAAACCAAGCCAGCGCAACCCAACCAGTCCGCCTCCGAACTGGTCCGACCCGACCCGAAACGAGCCCTTCCTGAGGAAAAGGAAGACAAGGAAACAAGG